AAGGAAGTCCATAATTACTATAGTATAGCTTTCAAACATTATGATAGGAATGTTAGGGGAAAGGAAATTTGAATTTCAAAAGTACCAAAAGTCAAAAAAATTTCTCAAAACTTAAAATTTGTAAAGTTAATGATGTTATTAGAAACTTTCTCTCTTCTCTACCTTTGAGGAGATAAGAATGCTCTAGGCAGGAGAAGAAATGGAAGTCAGTCAGGAGGGCATTAGAATGAGACAGTAATGCTTTGTCCTTACTTAGGGTTAGTAACCAGTGGGAAAGGGGCGGGAGTGTAGCTTGCCTCGCCTCCTGGATGAGACCTGCTGGCTAACCTGTGGATTTGCCTGTGCCACCCTGGCATATGAGGGACATGGAGTGAATGTGGCTGCAGGGTGTGTCCAGGCAGGTAAGCCCCATCAGCATCAAGGGATCCCTGTGTCCCTTGTACCTGGTAGCCTCACAACAGCCCGCTACCCCCACCCCCAGCCCTCTGCTCCTGGCTGTGGGGCTGGAGCCTGTGAGGGAGAAAGCACCCTGTCCACAGGGATGAGATAATGCAGCAGCAGCGGTGGGTGCCGGCCAGCTCTGGATTCACTGTCTCCCAGTGGAAACCCTGGCAGGGAGATGGACCCACAGAGGGACGCTCTAGCTATCCGGGGTGCACCCAACATTTCACTCCTGGAGTGTGTGACCTGATGTGGAGCCAACGCCCTTTGCAACTGTGTTCCCCGTGTTGCCTCAGTCTTTCCGCCCCGCATGACTGCTCCACACATTGCACATCCCAGGGTGTGTGAGGCTGTCCCTGTCTGTGCCATCTGCCTCCGGGAGCTTAACATGTAACTGGGATAGACAGATACTAACAGAATAACTGATGCAGCAAAGTTTGGTACAATGAAACCTAAATCCAGGACTCAGTGCCTTATAGCGAGTATTTTGAACTGTGTAACACTAGAATTAAGTATCTAACATTCTGAGCCATATTTTTCTCAAGCACAATGTGGGAATAATACTTACTTTGCAAAAGTATTGACAGAATTTAAATAACCTTGATATACAGGCAGGGCCTTAAGATGGTGTACAAATACCTTGCTAGTGCTCTTTAAGCAGCACACACACCAAAATCGGAACACTGAAATTAGCATGGTCCCTGCGCAAGGATGACACGCAAACTCGTGAAGCATTCCATGATTTTTTATATAAATACCTGAGACTAATATAAAACAATATATAAAACTAATATAAGACTATATAAAACAATATATAAAACTAATATATAAAACTAATATAAAACAATATTGACTGTCAATTGTAATTAAAAATAAAAATTTTGCTAGTTATAAGCGTAATTCATTTGTTAAAAACAATGGATCACATTATATGAAAAACTTGTTTTTTGAGCCTTTAATGATTTAAGAGATTCAAACATGAAGCTCTGGATGAATTTCTTTTCATACAATAATTGGAAGGTTTCTTTTCCTCTCTAGAATGAGAGAAGTTGAGATTGGCTTAGGCTGAGAGAACAGATATAGTAGAGTAGTCAGTGACATATTATTGGTGAAGGAGTTGCTAAGAGAACTCCTAGAGCAAAGAGTTGTAATATGTGGCTTTAGTTTTTACTCTCTCATAAAAGATACCTCCCTTCCGTATGGCCCATAAACTTTTAGTCAAGGTATGTTATATGCATCATATTTTTATGTGTGTCTACTTTTGGGAGGAGATGGGAAAGATTCGGGAGAAAAAAGCTACCTGGATAGAAGTAAGAGAATAATTTAAAATGCACACTAAAATTAACACATGCAGGGAATCAGAACCAAAGCATTGTGACAGTGTAAGTAACAGAGCACAGAGCATTTTTAGGGCCACAAAGCAATTCTGTATGACACAATAATGGTGCACACATGTCATTATACCTTTGCCAAAACCCATCTACTGTACAACAGCAAGAATGAACCCTCATGTAAACCATAGACTCTGGGTGATAATGATGTGTCAATGTAGGCTCATCAGTTATAACAGATGTACCACTCTGGTGGGAAATGTTAACAATGGAGGAGGCTGTGCCTGTGAGGGCAGGGTGTACACAGAAAATTTTTGTATTTTCTGCTCAATTGTGCTGTGAAATAGCATTACTATAAAATAAAGTCACTGAGGAAAGAAAACAAAAGGTCAGCAATTATGATCCCAAGTGTATAAAATAAAAATATTGATAAGGAAAAATATATAGGTCACCTGAAAATGCACAAAAATCCTGAGAAGAGTTATAAATTTCAATGATTTATGAGGTAAGAACTCAGCATTTTGGAGGTGTGTGTGTGTTACTGTAATATGAGGTTTATATTTCTGTCATTATGACCAGTGTCCCAGAAATACACAAATTCTGTCCTACTCAGACTCCTTCCTCATGAAGTACTTGGAAAAGCAAACTTATTGTTAGTTGCATTTTATTAAAGGGATTCATTTTCTAAATTTTCATGTAATTTTAAAATAGTAAAATTACTTCTAAAAATAAGAGCAATTATTTTTATCAGCAAGAAATTAAAAGGAAAATCAGCACATAACATTACTATAAGCAAAGTTGGAAATCAGTCCTTATGATTTTGAATTATGTGATTTTTGTGAATTATTTGAGTTATTTAAATTATTTCAGATTTTATATTAAAAATATGGCTTTATTAATATGCACTATCATACTACTTAAAGGTCACATGATTTTAAAATTA